ATGAATTCAGCAAAATATTCCAATATAGTCCAGAAGTCCATAATAGTAGTGGGTATTCCATAAGACTGGCATTGTCAGAAGTTGTTGATTTGAGCCTTTTACAGCTCAGCATATTAATATGACTTGACTTTTTATACTTCGTTTTCATACTTTTCTGCTGGATGTTTAAGACCAAGATAAAGCAAGACATATAAAATAAGAAATATAACTTTTGTATCTGATAAGGCAGGATTTATCCTCTAATCCTGTACTGTAGTTTGTAGATCCTTTGTCAATGTCAGCCATGTGGATGAGTCATGGCCATTGCTTGACCAATGAGAAAGCCTGAGAGAATGTTTTCTTTCCATGTGACTCCTTAGGCACACGCTACATAGTCAATCACTTTCCTCTGTGACCTCATAATCTCCTTGATCAGAAAATTTGCGACACAACTGAGTTACATGATGTTATAGTACAGGTTCTCCTATGTCCTGAGTCTTCACTGACCTTGAAAGGTTAGGGCCACAATGTTGGCTGTCCTTGCAGCCCTTCTTTTTCTCTAATTTTTGGTCTGCAATGTTAGGTTGTTAACCCTCAAGAAGAGAAGCTTATTATTATTACCCTACAACTTAGGCAGTTGAGCTTAACCTCACTGTCTGAATATCATACATCTCTTAGGCATAACATGGAACAGGTATTTTCCATCAAGTATTGATATGTTAAACTTTAAGTCCCTACAGAATATGAAGGAAAAAAATAAAAAATATTTAAAAAATAGGAACAGTTACATATTTTTACACAGAAATTTAGAAATCTAACCATATACAGCATTGTAGCAGGACAGTCCTGTGACATTTTTTTTCTTGTTTCTTGTTTTCATGTATTACCCTTTTTAAAAAAAAAAACATTTACTTGAGAGACAGTATGGCAGTAATTTGTATGTCATGACAAGCAATACATATTTAGAAGACCAGAATGACAGGCATTACAAGCATGACCCTACCATTACACATTGCTATTTTCAGTACCGTTGCTTAGTTCACAGGTATCAGCATATATAGTTAGTCAGGGTGAGAATCCTACCAATTAATTGCTAGTTTCAAAAGCATGTTGAAGAATCTCAGGATCATTGATTTACCCATCTCGTGCCTATAAATGGCCTTTTATTTTTCTTGACTTACCTTCTCTAGAATAATGGTAAAGGCTGATATACTTTCTTTGCTCAAACATTTCAGGGAGCATTAAACATAATGTTAGATATGGGGTTTTTAGTTTTATTTTTTTTATTTTACAGAAGGATCTACAGGTTGATCAGAGTCTCACTACTAGATCGGTCTCATAGTGATCCACCTGTTTATAGCCTCCCAAGAGCTGGGATTACAGGAGTGCACCAGCACGCCATCTCAATTGCCATTTTAGTGCACACCGGGGGCAGGGCCAGCACGGCAGGCCTGATCTAACCCCCAGCCCCTGCTTGCAGGTGCTTTACTCCACTGAGCTATTTGGCCAGCCCAATATAGGGCTTTGATAGATGCTTCTTATCAAGTTCAATTCCTCTGTACAACCAATTTTCTGAGACTGTATTTTGAGAGTTAACCACTTGACAAATGATTTTGTATATTAAATTATATGATAATATGTTTTCTCTTCTCTAGTGTGTTAATTTGGTAAGATATACTGATTAATTTTTTTGTTTGTTTGTTTGTTTTGTTTTGGCCAGCTCAGCCCTCCCTGAGGGTGGGGCTGATGCAGCTTGTGGTGCTGGGGATTGAACCATGGTCCTCTGTGCATGCCTAAGCTTGCCTAAGCAGGCACTTTAGACCACTGAGCTATCTCGCCAGCCCTCTGATTGATTTTCAAATGCTGAGCCAGCTTTGTATCCTTGCAACAATTCTACTTTGTCATAATTCTTTTTGTGTATTTCTAAATTGTTTGCTAATTTTTGACATATAAAAATTATAAATATTGGGTAGGGGGGATAGTTTGGTGGTCTAAGTGCCTACATGGCAAGTGCAGGGACCCGGGTTTGATCGCTGGTGCCACATGCTGTGTCAGCGTGCCATGCTGGCCACCGAAACTGGGCATGGTGGCACACCCCTGAAACCCCAGCACTGGGGAGGCTGAGCAGAAGGGTCACTATGAGTCTGAGCTGCTTAGTTAGACCCTGCACCAAATTAAAGAAAAATTATATTTTTGAAGAACCATGTGATGTTTTTATAAACGCATACATTGTATAATGGTCAAATCAAGATACAGTAATCAGCCCTTCACTTTGGTCCCAGTGAGAGGAGGGCAGTGCAGTCTCTACAGCGCTGCAGAGACCTCCACCCTGGACAGGTCTCCCTCCCCAGGCCTCTCCCCTTCTGCCCCTGAGTGTCCTCGCCTCATAGGCCTGTTGTTTCTGATATCATGGGATGAAGTGAGAGCAGTCCCAGGGAGGGTGGCCATGTCAAGGAGCCGCAGTCTCTGCCAAGAACTGACAACAACTGACTCCCAGAAACTGCTGCACCAGCTGAATACCCTGTTGGAGCAGGAGGCAAGATGTCAGCCAAAGGTCTGTGGCTTGAGACTAATCGAATCTGCACACGTAATGGCCTCAGAATGACTGCAAGACTAAGGGACTTTGAAGTAAAAGATCTTCTTAGTCTTACTCAGTTCTTTGGTTTTGATACGGAGACATTTTCTCTAGCTATGAATTTACTGGACAGATTCCTGTCTAAAATGAAGGTACAACGCAAGCACCTTGGGTGTGTTGGACTGAACTGCTTTAATCTGGCTGTAAAATCAATAGAAGAGGAAAGAAACGTCCCAATGGCAACCGACTTGACCTGAATGGGTCAGTATAGGTTCACCATTTCAGATTTGATGAGAATGGAAAAGATACTACTGGAGAAAGTGTAGGAAAATCAAAGCTACCGCTGCCTTTCAGTTTCTACAACTCTATTATTCACTCATTCAAGAGAACTTGCCATTTGAAAGGAAAAATAGCCCAAATTTTGAAAGACTGGAAGCTCAGCTTAAGGCATGTCACTGCAGGATCATATCTGTAAAGCAAAGCCTTCTGTGTTGGCCTTATCTATCATTGCATTGGAGATACAAGCACAGCAGTGTGTAGAGTTAACAGAAGGAGTAGAATGCCTTCAGAAACATTTCAAGATAAATGGCAGAGATCTGACCTTCTGGCAAGAACTTGTATCTAAGTGTTTAAATGGATATTCATCAAACAAGTATTCCAAGCCAAATGTCCAGAAGTTGAAGTGGATTGTGTCTGGGCATACTGCACGGCAACTGAAGCATAGTTACTATAGAATAACTCACCTCCCAACAACCCCTGAAATGGTTCCTTAATTGGTAAATTTGGATGTTTTTCTCTGTATAAATTTTTTTTCTACAATTGAAACACTGAAATATTATATTCAAAATAAACCATCTGGACTTGAAATAGTAAAAGGGAAAAAGTAACATCACCAATCCAATCTAGTCAACTCACTTTTGAAGGCACATAAGGTACAACATTCTAAGAAAAGGAGTCATCCCATCTCTAATATATATGATATATATGATACATATGTTATATATATACATATATATATGTATATATATATAATTTTATCAAATTAGCAGCTTAGGAAACGTCCTCTTTAATAACTTTAATTTTTAAAGTAGCCCTGAAGTAGTGTTTTTTTAATTGCACATTTTGCTGTAGTCCCATGATTTAACTTCATTTAAAATTGTAACAGGACCAAACACTTGATCCATATGTGAACTCACGACTGTTAGCTCATAAGCAGAATCATTATGAACCTGAATATTATACCTAGCGGATGATCTACTGAGTTTCTTAAAAGTGTCAGTATGTGTCAACATACTTCTATTGCATTCAAAACCCTAAAACGTAATTACATTTGTAGAAATATTTTATATGGTCTTGCCATCTAAATTAACTTATAGTAATGATTTGTCTTTTCCTACTCAAAACTAAATGTCAACATTTAACACATCTGTATATGATTATGAAACTTAGGTATGAAAAATTTACTTTTAACAGTTTGTAGTATTTAGACCAGCTTTTGATAAGCTGGGGTTTTTTTTGTTCTTTACATAAATAGTATTATTGCAGCAACAAAAAAACATTGCTTTTTTAAAAATATGTATTTGTTTTTTTTTAAATTTTATTGATAAACAGCAATGAGACAGTTTCAAATCAAATCGGAAGTACAGTTTCAACAAATAATACACTGCATATATTCTTCTTAGTGGTTAACTGC